CAACAGAGGGACAAGTGTTGTGACTTTGTGTGTGTGTGTGTGTTGGAGGGTGGGGGGCGGGGGGCAGGGATTAATAGGACTTTAGCCAGGGAAAGCAGCTTCTCCCTTTCCCCACACTTCTTGCACCCCAGTCACCTTACTGGGCTGAGAATTGTGTCTGTTCCATCAGAGGAGGGAGCTACGGAGAACTTCCAGCTAGTAAGGGGGTGCTGTCAGGCTGTCAGGCTGCACAGCAGAGACGTGCCCAGTCCTTAGACCTGGGAGGTCTCCTTCAAGTGTCAAAAGAAGGTATCCAGCTGGGCATGGTGGCTCACACCTGTAATCCCAACACTTTGCGAGGCTGAGGTGAGCAGATCATGAGGTCAGGAGATCGAGACCATCCTGGCCAACATGGTGGAACCCTGTCTCTACTAAAAATACAAAAATTAGCTGGTCGTGGTGGTGTGCACCTGTAGTCCCAGTTACTCGGGAGGCTGAGGCAGGAGAATCACTTGAACCCAGGAGATGGAAGCTGCAGTGAGCCAAGATTGCGCTACTGCACTCCAGCCTGGGTGACAGAGCAATATTCTGTCTAAAAAAAAAAAAAAAAAAAAGGCGACGAAGAGGAAGGTGTTCAGGACTCAGAGCTAGAGGCTGAGCAGAGTCACAGCCTCTTTGCTGAAAGCCTGTGTGACCTGGGCCGATGAGTGTTTAATGATCCCCAAAGGCTCTTCATGTATTAGTTTCTGCAAAGCTGGCTTTCCCGGGGAGATGCTAGCTGGACACCGATGAGGGAAGACTATAACCCAGCCTTGCAGCCCTCCCTGGGGCCAGCATGAGGGGAAGCACCTCAGCTGGGGCCCCAAAACTGCCCTCTGAGATCCAGCCACTCCCAGGAAGGGAGTAGAAGAGCAACAACGTCCTTGTGCAAGCCCCCCTCACACCGTACCACAGCCTCCTTCCTCCGTCACCCCAGTCCATTAGGTCCAGCCCCCCTCGCACCATGCCACGGCCTCCTTCCTCCCTACCATCCCAGTCCATTAGGTCCAGCCCCCCTCGCACCGTGCCACAGCCTCCTTCCTCCCTACCATCCCAGTCCAATTAGGGTCCAGCCCCCCTCGCACCGCGCCACAGCCTCCTTCCTCCCTACCATCCCAGTCCATTAGGTCCAGCCTCCCTCGCACCGCGCCACAGCCTCCTTCCTCCCTACCATCCCAGTCCATTAGGTCCAGCCCCCCTCACACCATGCCACAGTCTCCTTCCCTACCATCCCAGTCCATTAGGTCCAGACGACCTGTAATGCACACCCCAGGCCCCCAGCCCTGTGCTGGCCACCCTGGTGGATGCTGGAAATGCCAGGCAAGCCTCTGGCCACAGAAAGTGGTGCCTGGCCCATCGCACGGGGGCAGCCGAGGTAATCAGTTCAATGCCAGAGCAGGCAGGGAAGGCTTCCTGGGAATGGCAGCAATTGGGCTGGGCTTGCCAAGCTGATTAGTGTGAACTGGTCGACCAAGGAGGGGAGAGCAGGCCTGATGTACAGAAGAGCAGATGCAGGGAGACAGGCAGGACTGTTTACCCTGGAGGGGGAAGGCCCACTCACTGTGTGGGCAGGAAGCTGACTCAGAGAGTGTGACGAGAGTAACAGAGAACCCAAGTATCATTACTCCCAGCCCAGTGCTCATCTAATCGTGAGCCCTAGCCTTGCATTTTCATTCTCTTGTCTGGTCATCACTCGACAGTTGCCTCTGCCATGTCTACTGGACAGGACTCAGGATGGTCACCAGCAGCTTTCCCCTGCATCCCTCCCCAAAGCCCAGAAACCCTGACCAGCCCGCCAGGCCAGCCTCCTTCCGGCCTTAGAGCCCAACCTGGACTCTGCAGTTGGTCCTTTGTTGCCATCTAGTGGTAGACATGTGAACCTACACTAAATGGGTGGATTGGTGAAGGAGGAAAAGTTGGAGGAGGAAGAGGAGGAAGATGAGAGGGAGACGAGGAAAGAGGAAGAGGAAGTAATTTGTATAGCCTATGTGGATCACCATGTACTTTGGTAGAGACAGAAAAATCTAGGCCCTACTGTTTTGCAGCTTTGTGACTTTGAGCAGTTCACAGTTCCTCCCTGAGCCTCAGTTTCACCATCTGTAAAACCAGGAAAAAGAACCCAAACTTAAGTGTTAACCTTTGGCAGGGTATTGACCCAGAGGGAGTTTGAGGGGGACTTCGACGGTGTCAGAAATAATCTGTCTTGATGGTCACACAGTTTTAAAAAGTCATTGAGTTGTACACTTAAGGTTTGGGTGCTTTACTGTATATGTATAATATATACATTATATATAATACTATACATACAGTATATATAACATATTAATATATAATATATAACATATATTATATATAAATTATACCTCAACAAGGAAGGAAGCAATAACACTAATCTACCTTTAATGGTGAAGACTAAGTGAAATCATGTAAGATAGGGGCTTAGCTCAGGGCCTGGCACCAAGTAAGGATGCATTGAGGGCGATAGTTATCCCTGCTGTCACCCAGCACATTCAAATATAGCTGTGCTTTATTTTGCAATGACCCTGTAAGTTGACTTACTTTTTATAGCTGAGGGATTGAGGCTTGGCGAAAACTTGCTCTAGATGATCTAATTCCGTGTCCTAGACTTTTTCACCTGGGCATAGACCTCAGGCTAGGATAGGCTGAGCAGGGTCCAAGGCAACAGAGCGGTGTGGGCAGGCTAGCCCTCAAGGGCCACTGCACCCGGCAAAGCACCAGACCAAAATGTTGTCCACTGGTTCCCAGGAGACCTGGCTCTTCCAGGTGATGAGGCACCAGAGGGGCGGGCAGAAGAAGGCAGCAGGGCAGCACAGGGCACAGAGCTGGACAGGCAGATCTGGGTCTGAATTCAGGCTCCTCTGGATGGAAGGGGGCAAACTGCTTCTCATCCATGGGGGTCGGGTTTCTCATCTGCAAAATGGGGACGAGGACACGTGTCCTTCCTGCTGCTCAAGGTTGCTGTGATAGCCGAGTGAGACCATGGAGTGAAGACTCTGCTCCTCCTACTGACCTTACAGAATGAGCAAGAGCTTCTCCATTTTGCAGATGAGGAAACTGAGGCACAGACACTGCAGACCCCACCCAGCTATGACCTATCTCCCACCTGGGACCTCAGCCCCAAGATGAGTCATGGCAGAAACACAGCCCAGAAAAGAGGAGCGAAGGTTTTGGGGGGAAGGTGTCCTAAAACTTGCCCAGAAACCTCAGTCCTGCAGATGACACAGAACCACCAATACGGCTGAAGGGACAGGGTGGAAAAGCAATAGGAATATCATCCCAGCTCTGAGGTTAATTCAGACCGGGGACCCAGAGTTGGGTCCTCGGTGCCTTGTGATGTCCAAGCAGTTTCCCAGGCCTCCTTCCTTCATGGAGCTCCTGGGACCATCTCTTCCTCCTGCATCCTGGACAGGGGTCATGTAATTCCACCCCATTTCCATCACGGGGCCAGTGGCCGCATGTCTTAGTCCACTTGGGCAGCTATCACAAAAATACCATAATCTAGGTGGTTTACAAGGAGCAAATGTGTATTTCTTATGGTTCTGGGAGCTGGGAAGATCAAGGTGCCCCAGATTTGGTGTCTGGTGAAGATCCACTTTCTCATGTACAGATGGTACCTTCTTGCTGTATCTTCACAGGGTAGAAGGGATGAAAGGGCTCCCTCAGACCTATTTCATAAGGGCACTAATCCCAGTCAACTGTCCTCATGGCCTAATGCCTCCTCAATGCCCCACCTCCTAATACCATCACTTTGGTGATTAGGTTTCAATATGGGAATTTGGGGAGCGCACATTCAGACCATAGCACCCCATGACCTACCTGAGGCCACCCAGCTGGTCATAGCCACCAGGTGCTGCAAGAGCCTTGAGCTCATCTAGTGAGAACCCTCGTCTATCAGAGAGGGAAAGGGGCTTGTCTGAGGCTGCACAGCAGAGCCGGGACTGGAAGCTAGACCTCTGCATACCAGGCCTCGAGAGGAACCACAGGTGTTCAGGCCTTCTGAAAGCCACCTCATCCCTGTGAGAGGGCCTCAGCTTCCACTGCTACAGCTGACTCTGCAGCCCCTCCCTCCAGCCATGGTGACAGCAAAGCCATGGAGGCAGCTGGGCCTCCCAGTCCAGGCCCCTCTGGGATGGCTCTTCCCAACAGCCTAGCGTGGCCCTGGCCCGCCACCTGGTGGCCACAGCAACAATTGCCAGGACGTAGCCTCAGGCTCTGATCCCACCTCCCTCTCCCTGGGGGCAGCCTCTGCTACAAGGCTGCTACAAGCTCTGCTACAAGAGCCCATGGCTCTTCCCAGAAGCCCTCTGCTCTGGTGGGCAGCATTTCTGAGACCCTTACAAAGTGCCTGGTGCTAAGCCCCAGGGCCGCAGAGGCCTCTCCAGGGGGTGAGGGTCACACATCTCTGAGACCATGAAGTCAGGCTGGACTGACCCTTCTAACATGATATCCTTTGGGCCACAAAGAGTTCCTGGCACCGAGAGGGCTTTTACTCCGCAAACTCAGATGTGCAAGAAATCATCCATTTTCACATTTGCTTTCAAATTTTCTCTCCAGTTCTTCCTCCTGGGTGCCCTCATGCCTGAACATCCCCCACCTGAGAGAGCACAGATGAGAGCAAGTGTTCGTGGCCCCAGAGGGAAGGAAGGGGCCTCAAGCCCAGGCTGGTCATGTCTATGGAGGTAGGAGGTCCCAAGCTCCTGTGCTCATAGGGGCTCAGCAGTTTACACCCCGCTTGGCAGTCCCAGCTTAGGGTGCAGGCTCCCTCGCAAGCCACGCAGCCATTCCCATTGGAGGCCCTGCCACCTCTTGGGGTGCAGGGATTGGCTTCCTGTCACCCCCTGGTCCCACCACCCTCAAGGCCCTTTATAGGTTGGGGTGATTTTTGCTTTCTCTGTTCTTTCTCTCACTAGCTAGATGTTCTAGTTATACTGCTATGCTACAAACCACTCCCAAACTGAGCACATAAAACAGCCATTTTATTATAATCATGGATTCTGCGGGTCGGAAATTTGGAAAGGGCATCATGGAGACAGTTTACCTCTGCCCATAATGCCTGGGGCGCCGGCTGGAAGATGAAGGCTGGGGTGACTTGACGGTGGCGGCAGGAACCCTCTGGTGGCATCCTCACGTGCAGGTCTGAGGTTGACACGGGCTGTCACCTGGGACACTGACCCGTCTGCTCCACTCCACGTGGTCTTTCTGTGAGTTCTTCTCAGCACAGCAGCTGGGTTCTAAGAGTGGACGTCCCAGGAGAGCAAGGCAGAAGTGCATGGCATTTTCTAGATCTAGCCTTGGAAGTTACAGAGCGTCTTCTGCCATACTCTACTGGTCAAGGCAGTCACAAAGGTCCACCCAGTCAGAGGTGTGGGTGGGGGTGGCAGAGATCAGATTGAGCACTGAGTGAAAAAGCTCCCATGCAAACAGGGAGACCCCCCAGAACAAAGTCCAGGCTTTGTGGGGAGGAGAAATGAAGCAGCTCTGTTAAAGCCAAAAGACAGAGAACTGCTTCTGTCTGTGAGTAGGGTTGGTTGGCCAGCGATACCTGGGCTTCTCAGGTCAGTATGGGGCTGCCTGAAGGTGCCCACCTGGTGTTTAGGAGGCCCAGGGGGCTCCGCAGAGCAAGGTAAGTACCAAGTTAGCACACCAGGGTCACCAGGCGGCCAGGACAGGTGAATATCTCGGGCAGGGTCTGATGGAAGCTCAAAGTCCAGGCACTCTGCTCAGCCCACTCCCGGGCTCCACACTGGTCTCCACCATCTGTGTGACCTGGGCCAATGACATCTCCGAGCTCCACTTTCTCACCTGCAAAACGGGGCTAATTATAGTTCAGTGAGTCATAGCCCATTTCAGGGGCAAGTTCTAAATCAGTAAGGCAAAAACTAGGTACACGCAAAACAACCCTTGAGAACCTCTTATGCTCCCCATCAGCATGGATACACATGGTTTTGTGTGTACAGTTCTGAAGATTGAGTCTGATGAATGCCAAATTTGGACAACTGATGAAGTAGAACAGAGGGGTGGGGGTGCAGAGGGAAAGCCAAGGGGGAGGTCTGGACTTCTGTACCATCTGCCTTTAAGAAAATGTCCATCTCTAGTTGAGTGGGGGGCGGGGCGGGGGTAGGGGTGGGGTTCCTCTAAGCCTGTCAGGTTTGCTGATTGGCTTTTCCATGTTGCTTTCACACCAATCCTCTACAGTGTTAAATGCACTGATAGATTTGCATGGCATTGCACAAATTAAGCTAATTAATATACATAAAGGCTCCAGCACAGTTCCTGGCACATAATAAGTGCTCAATAAATGTGGGCTGGATTTGTGTTTTTTTCTTTTTTCTTTTTTTTTTTGTTTTGAGACAGAGTCTCGCTCTGTCACCTAGGCTGGAGTGCAGTGGTGAGATCTCAACTCACTGCAACCTCCATCTCCAGAGTACAAGCGATTCTCATGTCTCAGCCTCCCAAGTAGCTGGGACTACAGGTCTATACCACCATGCCTGGCTAACATATTTTGTGTGTGTGTTTTGTATTTTTAGTAGAGACAGGGTCTCACCATGTTGACTAGGCTGGTCTCAAACTCCTGGCCTTGGCCTCCCGAAGTGCTGGGATTATAAGCATGAGCCACTGCAGCCCGCCCTGGATTTGTCTTAATCTCACTTGATCAGACCCATGCACGAGGCTCGTTTTCAGCCAGTGCTGCCGTCCTGGTTGTTAAAATATCAGCATGTGTCCGCTCCAGTTGGTAAATACCTGCTGTCTAATTCCCCATGAGTGTGACCCGCTGCCCCGCTGCCCTGGCCTTTTACGTGGGATCCCCATGTCTCCCCACGAGGCAGCAACTTGAGGGGTAGCTTTGGTCCAACTGGGCCCCTGGGACCTGCTCAGGTACCAGGCCAGGCCTGTTCTGATTGGTTGGTCCCATGAGCTTCTGGGGTTAAATTTCAAAGATCACTCCTGCCCATGTGCCCACCACTCTGTGAAAAGCTGGCAGCAGCAGCCAGGCACTGCCTCCTGCACTCTTGGCTGGCATTTCCTGCTGGGGCCCACGGATCCTTTGCTCAGCCTGGGCTCTGGCTCCTGCCCTTGGACAGGATTCCAGAGGCAGGTGTGCTCTCATGATGGGGGCCTCACTCCCGAGTGAGGACGAGCTGCCTCCTTGCAGGGAATGTGGTGCCTGGAGGCAGCAGGGGCCTCTCAGTGGCAGCTGTCTTTGAAGTCCTTGGACCCATCTCTCCCCAGCCCTGCCTGTAGCTTTGTGGGGACCCAGGCCCAGTGCCACTCAGACTTTCTCAGCCTGCCCCTGAAATACCCACTAATGCCAACCAAGAATTAACAAATGCACCCGCAGGCCAGGCAGCCTGCCTGAAGCAGCTGACACAAGTGTGAAATTTCTTTGAAGTCTTGGGTTTTATCTCAAAAAGTACACGCAGATTCTGCATTCTGCTCCAGAATGTTTCCATTTTTGTTTAAATCTAAAAATAGGGCTTTAAATGACTTCCAGTGAAGAGAGTCGCCTCTCCAGGAAGATGCCAGGGCGTAGCCTGTGAGACTGTCGACACCCCTGGCTCCCTGCCACGGGCCTCTGGACACTCAAAGCTGGAAACCGAAAAACATTGTCCCCGCCTCTCAGGAAAGGTCGAGTCTGACTTTTCACCACCTCTGACCTGTGCTTAGGCGCCCTCTTTGGGTCACCTCCTATTTCTGTCCCTCTGAAACTGCAGTTGGCCCTGACCCAGAGTGGTGAGGAGTGGCGGTCTCTTGCTACTGCAGGTAGGACGCAGGCTTGGCAATGCCAGTGGCCATGGTTCCATCCATCCCTGCCTTGAAAGGAAAACAGCACAGCTCAAGAAAAGGGACACCCAGAGACAGCAGCGGCCTGACAACATCACTCACTCTTAACCTAGCATCACCTTGGATGTCACAGGGGTGTGTGCCCAGAAATTCCTCATGTTGTCCCTAAGCATGGTGAGACCCTGTCTCTACCATGCACAGATGAAAGAGTCCTAATTAATCAACCCTCCCTAGAGAGGAGACTGCTTGGAGGAGTCCTGCTCATTCTCAAAATATTCGGAGGCTATCTTGGGGAGGAGGGAGAGTATCTGTTCTCTCTGGTTCCGCTGGGCCAGAACCAAGCCTGAGATGTGGGAGATGGAACAAGGCAGATTTTGGATGGTAGGAGGAAGTGCTTTCTGAGTCAGATCTTTCCAGGGAAAGCAGGGCCTGCTTCTCAGGTAGTGAGCTCCCTGTCCCTAGGGGTATGTAAGTGTAAGCTGATGACCTTCTGGTAGCAAAAGGGTGGAAAGACTGAGGTACTAGATGGGGAAGGGTGGCCTTTTGCCTCTAAAATTCCTTCCCTTTCTGAGTCTCTGGTTCCATGATACTCTCTAAGCCCTGTTTAGGGATGTTTCCTCTGCATTCCAGTGTCTAGGGTTGCTCACAGTCACCACTCCTTTCAAAGGTGGAGGCACTGCAGCCATGGGCAGGCGGGCATCTGTGCCCTGCGCCACCTGCTGGTAGCATAGATGTGGTTATCAGCCCTCTCTGCATGTTAGGATTCCGACTAGGAAAACTCAGTGACCCAAAGTGACCTTCATCCAAACCTCTCCTTTATTTCTGTAGTTTATACACTTTGCATGCAAACGCCCCTGGGAGGGACAGTACCTATACCTTCGGCAATGCTAAGCTTCACACAAAGAATTTTTCATCTCCTTTCTTGGGTGGGGGGCAGCTTTTATTTTTCTTCCAAGAACGACTAGTCCTCATGCAGACCCAAGAAGTGGCAGCTAGAATTCGGAGTCAGAAAAATGAAAGCCCTGAGTACAACGCCCTTGTGGAGATCTGGCTTGCCCACATGTCACCCCCAACCCTGATTGAAATCACCAGGAAAATGTAAAACAGGGGTGGGGGTGAGAGGTGGGGGATTTAGATAGCATTACAATTTTTCTAAAGGGTCAGGTAGGAGTTTGAGGAATTTCTTCTAAGCCAGTCACTGGTGGGGCCAGGTAGGAGAAAGACCCTGAAATCAACATGCAGCCGGACCCAATCATCTATGAGCTGGAACTGCCAAGGAGCTTTCCTCCGACCTGGGGGCTAAAGTGCCCAGAAGGAAGACAGGCCGCTGCTGCTCTGGCCTCCCTGGTGCAACAGCCTCACCAAACAAAGCCCCTTCAGGAGTGTCCTGGACCGGTGGCCACCAATTGCAAGGCCTCGCTTGCTCTATACAGGTTGTGCAGGACATAAACCAGGTGCGGGGTGCGAGGAGCTTCACACCCATTCCGTCACCCATTTGTAAAGGTATTACTTCAGTTGTCCAGCAGATGGCAGTAAAGTGTCCCAAACAAGAGGCGCCTTTCTTTGAGTTGCCCAGAAACCACTGGTTCGGCTCCTGGGTGGCAGAAATCTTGGAGAAGACAATCAGTTCCCCAGATTGCAATCTAAGAGTCAGATTCCCCCCCTCCTTTTTTTTCTATTTCCATAACTTTATTTTTAATAAAAGGTTTATAGTTTTCGACGTCCAGTGGTTCCCCAGGACTTACCATAAAACTCAGCTGACGCCTCTCCATCTCATCTCACCAGCTCTCTGGGACAGGTGACCACTTGCAACTCTGGGAGGTGTTTCTTCTGTTTTTAAATCTTCATAATTCTAGTTCTTGATTTCACCATTTTCGACACCATCTTTGACTTACTGGGATGGAAGATGAAGATTTATCTTTCTTACAATCCACCCCCACCCTGTCCCCCCACCACTTCCCCTCCCCTCTCTCCCCCAGCATAATTCTCTCCCTATTTTTGGTTAAATCAGTGTTCTTGATATTTACTCGTCTTCTTTGCCGTCTCTGGACTCACGGGGTGCCCTCTGTGCCACACGGCATTCCACCCAACATTGCTTCGGACCAAGGAACTCATTTCACATCGATAGGACAACAGGGACCTTGGGCCTGTGGAAATCGCTAGTCTTATCGTGGACTCTCTCTCATACGGAAGCAGCTGGGCTAACTGAAGGGTGGAACGGCCATGTGAACACTCAGTTAAGGTTCTGCTTGACAGACAATGGCCTGAAAGGTTAAAGTTCTGTCTTACAGAATGAAGAATATGCTTTGATGCGGTGATCAGTAGAAGGTATGGTTCGTCCCACATCCACAATACCAAGGCCCCAAATCAGGGAGTGGGAGTGGCTTTCCTCTCTATTACACCTAATAACCACATGCACTCGAACCCTCTGGGCTCTGTTGATTGAAAGGTTTTGTTCCCTAGGGAGAAATGCTTCCATCGCGGAACACAACCAGGGGCCCATTGAGTTGGTCCATGAAACTGGACACTATGGGTGCCTCCTGCCACTCAACTGGCAACATAGGAGGAAGTCACTCCGCTGTGTGGCACATTTGATCCTGGTGATCAAATCAGGCTGATACTGTACAATGGGAGGACTATGTCTAAAACCCAGAAGACTTTCTGGGAGTACCTCTTTTTTAACTTTAATTTTTAATAGTTTTGGGGTACAGGTGGTTTTTGATTACATGGATAACTTCTTTAGCAGTGATTTCGGAGATTTTAGTGCACCTGTCACTCAAGGAGTGTACACTGTACCCCAATATGTAGTCTTTTATCCCTTCCCCCCCAGTCCCCAAAGTCCCTTCTATCATTCTAATGCCTTTGCATCCTCATAGCTTAGCTCCCACTTATAAGTGAGAACATACAATATTATATTTGGCTTTCCATTCCCAAGTTATTTCACTTAGAATAATGGCCTCCAGCTCCAACCAAGTTGCTGCAAAATACATTATTTCATTTTTATGGCTAATATTCCATGGTGTATATATAACACATTTTCTTATCCACTGGTTGGTTGATGGGCAGTTAGGTTGGCTCCATAACTTTGCAGTTGTGAACTGTGAGGCTATAAATGGGTGTACAGGTGTTTTTTTCATATAATGATGTATTTTTCTTTGGGTAGATACCCAAAGTGGTAGTAGTGGGATTGCTAGATCAAATGGTAGTTCTACTTTTAGCTCTTTAAGGAATCTCCATACTGTTTTCCATAGTGGTTGCACTAATTTGCATTCTCACCAGCAGCGTAAAAGTGTTCCCTTTTCACCGCATCCATGTCAACAACTATTGTTTTTTGACTTTTTGATGATGACCTTACTCTTCTTGGAAGAGTAAGGTGGTATCTCATTGTGGTTTTGATTTGCATTTCCCTGATGATTAGTAATGTTGAACATTTTTTCATAAGTTTGTTGGCTCTTCGTATATATTCCTTTGAGAACTGTGTATTCATATCCTTTGCCCACTTTTTGATGGGATTATTTGTGTGTTTTTTTTTTCTTGCTAATTTGAGTGTCTTGCAGATTTTTGATATGAGTCCTTTGTCAGAGGCATAGTTTATGAATATTTTCTCCCACTCTGTGGGTTGTCTGTTTACTCTGCTGATTATTTCTTGTGCTGTGCAGAAGCTTTTTAGTTTCATTAGGTCCCATTCGTTTATTTTTTGTTTTTGTTGCATTTGCTTTTGGGGTCTTAGTCATGAATTCTTTGCCTAAGTCAATGTCCAGAAGAGTTTTTCTGATGTTATCTTTTAGAGATTTTATGGTTTCAGGTCTTGGATTTAAGTCTTTGATCCATCATTAATTGATTTTTGTATAAGGTAAGAAATGGGAATCCAGTTTCATTCTTCTACATGTGGCTTGCCAGTTTTCCCAGCACCATTTATTGAATAGGGTGTCTTGTCCCCAATTTATGTTTTTGTATGCTTTGTCAAAGAGCAGTTGGCTGTACTTATTTGGCTTTATTTCTGGGTTCTCTATTCTGTTCCACTGGTCTACATGCATGTTTTTATACCAGTACCATGCTGTTTTGATAACTATAGCCTTACAGTATAGTTTGAAGTCGAGTAATGTGATGCTTCCAGATTTTTTTTTTTTTTGC